TAGTGAGACCTGGATCTGCTGTAGATGGGTAAAAAAACCCATGAGAAAGTGTCTTTCATGTTTCCAGCCTTGTGCAGTCTTTGTTTTTTTTTTTTTTTTTTTAAACAAGTTAGGGCAAGTGAGACTCATCTCTCATTTTTGTGTGTGCTTTTTAAAAAACAAGAAGAAAATCTAAATTAAAAAAGGCAATAAAGAAATACTGAGACCTGGGAGGGAGGGAAGGCTTTATTCTACCCCGTGACTAGCCCTCAGTTCCTGTTTTTCTGCGGTTATGGTCACGGCTCTCCCGCACAGCATCACCTCCCTGTCCAATTTTCAGACCTCATGTACTAGCTTAAGTAGCTATGGCCGAGCTTTGGTACTGCCCAGAGAGTGTCAAAACATGAGAGGTAGTAAAGGAGGAGTCCTGCAGGTCCCTCTCCGCCATGTGACTGGAGATGGGCTCTCGCTATGACTCAAGTAAGGTAGGGGGAAGGAAGGCTCATACCCCTTATTCCCATTGATGCCTCCTTGACCCACACAATTGAGGCCCATGGGCTGACTCCCAGCACGTGGTGCTGTGACTGAAGTTTTCGCATTTGGAGCGCTGCAGTATCACCTCCATCCTATAGACCAAGTGGCCAGTAGCTGGCACGAGCAACAGTTTACATCACCCACGACCAAACCAGAAATACAAGAAGATTAGCTGCCAGTATGATTTAAGACTCCCAAAGCAGAACAGAAGCAGATAAGGAAAGCAAAGCAAACTGTCCTTGGGAAGATAAAGAAACTTTGCAGCTGACATAGGAAAAGCCGCTATTAAGGTAAGCGGGGGTGTTACCAGCCTCAGGCTAAAAGCTGGAAATATTTTTGAAAGGTGACAGAAATTAAGAACCCATACAAGCCCGGAGCTTAAAAACACTCTGACCTTGAAGGAGCTGAATCTGCCTTTCTGGTTCCCGGGACATATGGCCTCGGTAACAGATGATATATATCAATTCCTAGTTCAGCATAGCTACATAGGTATCCAGTAAGGCTTGTCTGATACAGGACAGAGGGTCTTTGCCTCATCTGCTGACTGTTCAGCTGCCTGCTACCGTGATTTATCACTTTGGAAACACTCATGCCCCAAGCCCCCACGTGCTAGACAGAGCCAGCTGGACTACTCCACAATTGCAGACCAACTTTAGCTGTCACACAGGCCCTGGACCAGGATGGGAGGTTGCATGGAACGTTTTGTCTTGGATGAGCGTCTCCGTTCTTCCCTGGTTGTCTCAGTCACCTTGTACCATGGGATCTCTTCTGCCACAAGATCCAGCACAGCCATTACACCCCATAAGCACCACCACAGTCATATAGCCCAATGCAGCGTCCCAGGTCTCCAGACTCAAAACAACACTCTATCTCTCCAGTACATCAAAACCAAATGAGTCTAGGAGAAATCGTGACATCTTGGACACATCAAATTTTCAGCTGGAGCAGTACCACTCTGGTGACTTCGTTCACTCCAGGCAGCAGTCTGGGGACAAACACAGCAGTTTCTCTGGTATCCTCCAACATAAAGCACTTCCACAAACCTCTAGGTGGTATTTGGAGAACAGCACCCAAACCTGTCTCTTGTTTCTCTGCTCCCCCTGGTGGGTGCCAGCCCGGCATTATCAAAATGCCTGCTTGGGCAGTGCTGCCAGGGAGCCGCATACAGAAGCTAAGCAGGCTGTAAAGTTATTACACAGTCTCCTTAAGAGCTCATTAATTACCACTGTTAATACTTACTGATACTGATAGCACCACTGCTCGTTACAGGGACCTAGCAGATCAAAAAGCAGATCTCGGAAGAGAGTTTCTGAGTTACAGACTTTGGTGTTGGCAACCATTGACATCTCCAGCCAACATCCAGATCACGCAGCCCTGACAAGGCCATACGCCCACGACCTGGGCGTCAATCCACAGCCACCGCCAACGATGGTACATACATGGATGCTGATCCATGCTCAGCTCTTCAAAAAGAAAGTGATCGCAGCTCCTGTAATTGTGAACTTGCACATTTGTGCAAAGAAAGATAGTGGAGATATCAGATGGGTTGCATAAAGTGTGGGCCAAGAAGCTAATCACTTCTATGTGTCTAATTATACTTTTTTTCCTTGTCAAAAGGGGATAATCTGTCATTCTCCATATTCCACTGTATTTTCAAATGTAATTCAAATTGGGGTCTCCCCTGCCTTTACTAGACAAATAGACTAAATGCCAGTGAGAATGGATTTTAAAATCTATATTTTAAGCACTGCAGTAGTATAACTAGTCAAGACACAAAGTTACCTATAACTGCTCACTCAGTTCAATACTGCAAACAAGAAGGTACTACAAACTCTTTCAATTCTCTCTTTAGAAAGGTATTCAACCTTGTTTAGACCAATCTTGTGCTTGTTCTTGTTATCTTCAGAAATGAGATAGTAAAATAATTGTGTAAGAAAATCAAGACCATCAGAACACTTTTTAATTATGGAGAGATCATGCACTATACTTACTTGGAGTATAGAGAGGGGGTTGGTTTCGTCTGGTTTTTGCTTTACATCTTAAGATGGATTATTACTGCAGGAAAAGTACAACTGAAATGACTGAAATAATCACATTCCTCCCTTTATGTTCAAATGCGTTTCAAGCTCATATCGAGATGTTGAACAAAATCAAATATAGATCTTTTCCTAATTTTCCAAGCTACAGAACAATAAGTACTGCACAGTAGAAAACAAGATCTAATACAAGAAGTGGCAACTGGGATTTCATGCTACTTATATGTATTCACATAAAAAGATATGCAATCACAAGGAAGTGTGACTCATTTGACACTGGAGAGACATTTTCTTTTTAACTATGCATGAAAGGGACACTATTGCCATACGCTGCTCTAACAGTGGTGAATCAGAAGTAGTAAGGGAGTCGCTGCATTCTACAGTTTGTAGCAGTCACGTTTGAAAACAAGGCCTGGATCTTCTCTCTGTAAAATCCGTTCATACAAGCCCAACATTGCCCCACACACACCCTGAGATTCAGCCACCAGATTCCTAATTAAGACCCGCTGACCTGGACAACTTGTAAAGTGCATTTAATTCCCCAAAAGGCAACAGGGTAGCAAGATCTTCCACTAGTGTCTAGTAAACAAGAAACAAGGAAAGCCCATGCTTGGCAGGCACTCAGACACACCAGTTAAACTCTTGTCAAGGAAGCACTTGAAGATCACTACCCACAGAAGACCCTGATGAAATCACACATGCAACCCATCGTACAAAAGATGCTACTGCCTCCTAAGCCCCAGTTTGCACCATAAAAATATCAACAAGATCCCAAAATGAGTAAAAACACCGCAGTGTTTTTATTTTCTCATGTCTTTAGACAGTAATTGCAATGTACTCTCTTACCTTCCACTCCTCTGCATAGCTCTTAAACACACATGGGTCTTCCTTTCTTTACAAAACTAGACAGTTACAATTTATTTTGTAACAGCAATTTGTTTGGATTTCCATCTATAAAAGCCCCAAAAAACGCCACATTGTACAGCAATTTCTATACTGATGAAACACAAAGGTTCTGTAATGTTTATAAAGCCTTTTAAACTGCATTAGCGAAACTATTTTGCTAAATTACATTTTCCAGCTCATCAGTCCTTATTATGCTATATACAAGCTCACTTCTTCCAAGAGTCACCCCTACTCACATAATCAAATCATGCCATTTGAAACGCTGTGACATTATTTTGTCATATAAAACGGTTGAAATTATCTTGACGATGGCAATGTAAGGATTGCTGCTGCCCAAAATTTGTTATGAGAAGTGAAAGCTGAAAAAGAGTTCGATCTCTTGAAATTATAGACTTTAAATATCAGAGACATAAAGTGTTTAAAAGCCGTTAAATACCATCGGTCATCATAAAAGGAGGATCCAGGTTCTGAAACACTTGTCCTGAATCATTTCAATGGAAATATTAAAAAATGAAAATGTGCTATGGAATTACAGGATTTATTTATATAGACTGACATAAACTCACTTTATGGTAATATGTTTTTAAATGTCAAGCAGTATAAACAAGCTATCTGAAATTACTACCTAATATAATGACTTAAATAAGTACCTTCAAAACAATGATTATATGAAGACTGAAATAAGTTTGACAGACTGAGGTATAATCAAAATCACTGTAGTCAGAGAAATTTATCCAAAGCAAAAGCCGTTTTATGCTTGCACACTTATGCATTTAATATAGAAGAAAAGTAGAGCATAGTTTTTCAACAACAACAAAAAAAGCTCAAAAAACACTTGGAAAAGTCAATTCTGCCAGTCGCTTCGCTTTTGCTGGGCACACCAGTTTTCACATTTTGGTCAAAGATCCACTGCATGCACACAGCTTCTCTATTTTACCTCATTTTGAGAAAATTATTTTCAGAAAACATGCCTCCAAGAAACATCTGACAACTGTATGTCCACATGATTGATTAAAAGAGAGGAAAACTCAGCAATATATAGATCACACACTTTACAACAGCAGCAATCGCTTGCTTGCAAGCCCCTGGCCAGAATCCTTCTCCTTGACAAAATAAATTAATGCTAGACATTTCTCAAGACATTACATCAACAGAAAAAGGTTTAGCTCTCCCTTGCATCAACAAAGCACATCATCTGACCTAAAGTGCAAGTCTTGATCACTAAACCACTTTCAAATGAAACAATACCAACCTTCAAAGACATCTTCATGTAACGAGCTCTCTTTGCTGACCATTTTGACTAGTTACAGAATTTATATCTGTCTGGTCCACAATCATTTAAGAAGGCTAGTGAGGTCTGAGAAGTGAAAGATGAGTCCAGTCAGTATTATTTATGGACCTCTTTTTTCACTCTTGTTCAGTACAAAGATACATAGCATTGCTGAATCCTTCAGTATCAATTCTCCCACCAAACCCACACTGCAGCCTTAATCTTAAAAAGATATACTTTCAAGGATAAACAAAGTAAACACATATCCATCAGACCTGAAAGATGTTTTCACCAATGCCTCAGGACTGTCCACTGGTGGTAGTTCATCCGCTAAGATTTCTTCAGGAGGTCTAGGGTCGCTGATGATGGTCGGCTTTGGCCTTTCCTTGAGGTTGCCAGTAAGCCCACCAATAATGGTGTTCCACAAGCAGTTTTGTGATTTAGACCCTGCAAAAATAGAGAGTGAGAAGGAAAATAAATTCATAGGCCTATCATCCAGTCTCTCAGCAGTCTGGAAAACACAGATGGTCTTTATCATTTTACCTTTGCATCACCACATTTTGGGATTAAGCCTGAAAACCCGAAATAAAGCTCGAAGTAGAAAGAAGCACTAATGTTCAGGTCATTCCAAATCCAAGAGTGTAATGCTTCCCATAAAAAGATTTGATTACAGAACATGGAGTTCCCATGTCTCGATAAAAACCATCCTCTCCACATTATACTTAGATTATAGCTTAGCATGTATTGATGTGGCTGTATTTTAAGCCAAAGAACTAACCAAAAAACAAAGTACCAAATCAATACAATATTAATTGTTGACTTTCTTAGACTAAAATTAATAGCGGTTAAATTACAGATTAAAGATATCATTGAAGGACTAGTATCAGAAAACATACTTCTTTCTGTTGAAACTTCAACTTTTCTCAGTAGACATTCAAATGCCAAAATATTTATATGGATGATCTTTTTACATTTATTTAGAAGTGCCACCAGGTGCCTCTTGCTTGTCATTCAGAGAACCCATCCTCATCTGTAAGTCTAGTTCCACTGACAAAGTATAATTAGCATCCTTCAGTCAGATCTCCTCCCAGCCTTTGGAGAAGAGAATACATGACTTACATTTCATAAAGTTTAAGTATTTGTTTCATATTTTCAAAAATTTCCAAATGGCTTCTGAATAAATTAGGCACTTCTGAAAATCGCAGTGATACTGCCATACTGAACACCTGTGTCACATTCTAACTTTCAATTATTATAGAATATACGAATGAATTAGCAGATCCCAAGAAGAGCAGTTAAGTACTGAAATACTAATTATTTCAGTTAAGAGACTTCCTACGACAGAGGTGCAGCAAGCATTAATCTTACTGGATTCCAAAGTAATAAGACGTACCTACTCTGCTGGTAGTCATTCTCCATGGGCTTTTCATCAATATGCAAAATGAAAAAAAAAATATTCTGACAAATGGGATATTTCTAAAGTCAGCAACTGATTTTTATAAGAGACTGTACAGGTAAAATTTTCAAATATTTCCCCAGCATTCAGACTTAATTGTCCAGCAGAGACAATTAAGAAGCAAATAGTGGACCTAACACATATGGATTAAGGTTGACTTTTTGTTGCAGTACACACAAAGTATGTAAGAGGAAACCAAATAGAAGAGCTGTTATGTCATGTCTCCTGGGAATATATCATGAGAAGCTACCCTGTTAGAAGCAGCAATATCTCCTGCTACAGACAGCTGATGGCAGCCTTATTTTGCTCATTGCCTTCAGTGTCTTGTTTTCACACAGCCTAAATGGTGCAAAGACAGATCAGCAAGAATCCTCGTCTATCTTCCCCATTCCAAAGTAATTTCCAGAGTATTTCCCAGCCAATCAGGAAAGCTCCATACTCATAGGCTTCTCTGCTCTTAATTGTCAGCAGCTATTTAATGTGCAAGGACCGTATTTACCCAGATTTAGGGGTAGCCTTGTCGTCCTGTGCTGAGTTCTGTGCTACAATAGCTAGAAAAATTACTCCTCACACCAGGTAGTCCAAAGTAATGTCTACACAACAGCTGCAGAAATAAATGTAACATACACACATCTTTATCATTCAAGGACTCGCAATGTTATGTAGTGGCAATACCACTGTTTCTGTTCTTTAGACCACCATGCTGATTTCCCAAAATTTCTTAATTTTACTTGAATAGGTAAGCATTTGTTTTCCCATTCTGTAAGGGGAAGTATAAAGGATACAAGAGTTTTAAATTATCTGACCATACAGACCACCTGTGACAGAGCCAAAAATATTGTGATTCCCTATAGTATGTTGAGAGGACCATTTCTTTTGCAAAAGTATGGCATACTGTTGGAACCAGGAGTTTAAGTCTCTGTTAAGATATGGTCAACAACAAAAAATAAGTTGCCATCCAGCCATACATGCTGCACACTAAGACAGGAGAGCAGGACATCAACACTTGCAGAAAAAGCTGCTGCACACTATTAAAATCATATTTTGTGGAAAAGAGGCTCTCTGAAGCCACTTTTATAATTTTGAGGTTTTGCCCTGCAATTATTCCAAGGAATCTGCTGAGCTTCCCAAACCACCATCTTCTCCCTATTTCCTCAGCTCTACCCTTTCTTTTATTCCACAAGCCCTCCAGCTTGTCAGGCACAGGACAACTCCATGGTCCAGGAAAAAGACATATTAGCCTTTTTTTGCACTTACAAATAACTTGTTGTTTGCACTACCACTGAAAGCCAACAGTGACGGGTTAACTAATTGTCACTGAAAACCATATAATCACTCAAATCAAACCTTTTTTTTTTCTTTCTTTCTTTCTCCTTAAACAAAAACAGTGCAAAAAAAAAACCCAAGTACTTGTTTCAGTATATATAGTTTTTTCCCTTGTGTTCTCTGCAGATACACCTATACCTTTTCCTCTAGCGTGGATATCCATTCCATGTAGCTTTCCCCTATGATTAGATCTAGACTGTAGACCCAGATCTACTTGGCTCTTCTGAAGATCAACAGCAGCAAATCAGCCAACTGATGTGAATTAACCAACTTCACTAGAGCAATGAAATGCCCACCTGTCCTAATCAGTGTTCAGCTTGCCCACAGCTATGCTCAAGTGAAGGGCATTTGGCAAACGAATAAAACATTTAACGGGCCTGCATGAACAGATACTAGCCAGGAGCTTCCAGCTGTCTGAAATGCTGAAAGCCTGATGAACTTAAATTCCCACAGCCACAACTGTTCAAAGACTGATGGCACAGTGGTACTTGTAGCAAGATGACATAGTGAGATACCAGGCAAATTAACTGCTGCTAAAGGGAGTAGTAACCTCTTAAATCCAATGTTGCCTAAATGGACTGGAATTTGACATTTAAGAGTACAGGAGATTGGGTAGCCCTAGCATTGGAATGAGTAACACTTAATTTTAATTTCAAATCCTTGTGAATAAGTGTAAACATTTGCAAAAATGCTTCTCCCTCATTTTCTTGTACCCTGTCAAAGATGATTATAGCTGAGCTAGAGGCAAAAGCAAAATAGATTTAGGTGTTATAATTTAAAAAGCAGAACTCTGCTTCAAGAATCTGTGAGTGGGTGTTCAAATACTTTAACATAGCCTAAAAATATTGTTACACTGCAAGTCTAGCTACCTAGATCACCGATAACTACGCAACTATCATTCCCATTGCCTCACTTAACAACACCAGCAGCCTTTCCCTCTTCTTTGCTCCTGAACTAAAGGGGAAACAGCTACATGGTCCAGAGAGCTGCAGACAACAGTCAGGATGGACCAAGGCTCATCTGGGTTTCTGTAGGTTATCTTGTGTTTGGTTGCGTGTACAGAAAGTTAGATCAGGTAAATAAGGTCACCCAAAATGGGTATGGTTTGTTAAAGTGTTCAATGACAGCCCAACTGTGATCCCACTGAAATCTCTGAAGGTTTTACGGTTGACCTCAAATGGGCAGCTGGTACAGAGCAATGGAAATCCTGTTCTCTGTTGTGAAGTTAACAATTGCCTTTGAATTAATCATTGAATCATTAATCAATTTCACATTTGAATGAATGTGAAAGGCACGATCCAGGGAAGATACCCAGTCTCTGGTTTGTGATTCAGACACAAGGATAACGACGATAATCCTCTACGACTTCAGTTATTGCTTGAATCCTTGTCCTCAGATGCTGCAGCTTTTTCTGCCATTCAGTCAGGATGTTTTTGAATGTTTGATCTGCACTCCACTGTTTGTGCAATGAAACATGGTATGGTAGAGTAGGTTATAGTACTCTCAGCATAAATTTGGGCATCATCCACTTAACCCACATTAGCACAGCACACGCCTCAGCCATTTCCCTCCTTTCCATAACAGAGTTCCCATTCTAATTTTCCTTCCCATTCCCACAGAGTTCTCACCTTATACTGCTCATGGCCACACAGTCATCATTAATGATACCCTATGAGAAGCTAGCTGGATCATTAAATCCTCAACCTGACTCCCAGATCACTAAATTTAACTCCTAACAGTGAAGGTCTGGTTTACACTTTGAATTATCTCCCTTTGTCCCTATATTATGATTCTGTGACTATTTCCCAACAAGGCTTATCTAAGTGTTCCTCTCTGCATTGCTTTTCTGTTACTGTCAAATAGCCTGTGGCCTTGATCTCACCTCCACACTTAATCCCGTGCAGCACTGGGTCAAACGATGAGGCCTTATAAGGGGGTATCCTATGCTTTCATTCAGCTGATAGCCATCCGCCGCTGGTCTGTTCTCTTCCATGTAATGCCAGTCACCCCTACCTCTGCAAATACGGCTTGGCTGCCTGGCTGAAAGCCAAGATTAAAGCAGGAACAGAAACTGGTTGCTCCTGGGTCTCAGACCTGCACCCTATACGCATTCACCAAAAATCAAGTTCTCATGAATGTCAGAATCAGAACTGAAATGCCAGCTCAGTTCCAAATGTCATGACATTATCCTTGACTACTTGTCAGGCAATATTGCAGCATGAAGTCCTTGTAACCCAAATATCCAGGAATAAACGGTACTTGGGCTGAATCTTCCAACTCTTTACCTAGTATTCAAGAACCATAATGGACAAAAAGCACAGTGATAAAGAACTTGAAAATATTTGCATTTACATTTCTCTCCTCTGTGATTTCCTTTGCCATATGCATTTTCAGGGTTGAACCAGCCAGGACTGATGAATAGAGCCCATTTTTAAGCTTTGCTGTCTGCAACATGAAGGAAAATAAACCCTAAATCAGGAATAAGGAATGCCAGTACAATTTTCTCTCAGTCCTGTTCAATCTGCTCCATCACCATGCAAGTCACTACATGCAACAAATTTCATAGCCACAGACGTTCCTTCTACATTATGCACCTTAGCTACCTATGTGAGGTATGGCATGCTCAGAGTGCCATCCTGTGACTGTGTGAAATACTGCACCATAGAAGTAAATTATTTTGATGTTTTGCTCTGCACCATCTATGATGATAGCAAATGCCCCCGTTTAATGATGAGAAGGGGATTTTTCCCTGCTAAGTGATCACAGATCATCATGAAACTGCATGCATTATGAACAGGTTTTCCTATCTTCCTCCTCATTCCTACATATTTTGTCACACGTTTTTAATAATTCATATGGTCAAAGCCATGGTCAGATGGTGCCACATTACCAGATGCATCCCTTTGTTTTGTTCAAACTTGGGTCACTTACTTCAAATCCCAAGCCATACCTTTAGTTCCTATCCTTGCTGTGTGAAGCAAAAGGTGGAGGAGGAGATATCAGTAAGGTTTAATTACATTTTTCATATGCTATTTCTAAGGCTTGACTCAAATTTCTTTGTAGCCATTGTAGTCAACTTCAGCTAGCTTTGTGACACTTACGTTGTTATAACCTTTTATGCTTGAAACAATAGTAGGGCCACAAAGCCTTCCATTCTTTTGAATTTGCATCAACTCTGTTCAACAAGACTGAATTTCTGTAAGTGACTTTTCCAACTAAGTACTATGGCTCCTCAGTTTAGTACTGTAAATAAACTGTAATAACAGGGCAAAGATAATATGAGATTAAAAGACTTATTAAATGTGTTTATTTCTACAGTAGATATAGAAATCAATCAGTTAAAATATAAAAGGCTACTACTTACGGGCAAATCGTGAAAGTGGTCGTGCATTTTTGTCACCTGTCTCGTTTGCAACTGAAAGGAGAAAATAGAGAAAAATAAAAAGCATTCAAAATTAAATGTTACATTAAGATTAATGATAATAGCAATTCTCATGCATAAAAGGGAGAGAAGACTGTTCACAGTAACAGCAGTTGGATATACACACACAGACATAGAATACTTTTTTTAATGACACCAAATATATTACTTTGCATGTTTGTCTGTCTGTATGGTTCAGTTTGGCCTTCAGAGTCAGGAGGGCACACCACAGGCACCTGCAAACATTCTCTTGTCCCACATAATAATTGAATCGTATAATCACCCGACATTCAAGCACTAGCCATTAATAGTACATAGTAATATATGATCGCAGTCATCTCTACAAATTCTATTTTGTATTGGACTTTTTTCCAAGTCCTAAATAAAATGTCATTTTTCCCATTTGCATTAATAAGTATGGTAAGAAAAAAATAAGATTATTCCACCTACATAAGGAAATGCACTAGCAATTTTGGAAGCCCAGAGGATCATTTAATAGCAAATTAAATGAAATTTAAGGATCTGTGCAAAGGAATCCTCTGACATTTGGAACTGCATATAGATATCACCTAGGATAAAAACAACCCTGTACAAATCTTGCTTTTTTCTGCCTCAGATTCATACTGGCATAGCTCTCAACATTTCTGTGACCCAGCCGGTATGCAGTTAGTCAAGAGCATAAATGACTCTTTGGGGTTCTCACAATATTAAACTACAGCTAAAAAAAAGAGGAGAGTTATCAAGGAGAGGAATTATCACCCATGACTTTTATTTTTTGTAGCTAGAATAATCATGAGGAACAGCATTGATGGGCACATAGGGAGGAGAGCATATTATAAGTGCACACGGAAACCTTGCCAATTATTTGCTTTCTTTAAAAATGCTGTTTTCTAGAGACAAGACCAACCAAGCTAAGAAATCCCACAAAAGGATGCAAAATATGACCAGAACTGAGACATACCGGTTCCTAGCAAGATAACGTCAACTAAACTATAACGGCCTTTTTGAAGCCAGAAAAGACTTTTGATGAAATTTAATTCTTCTGACAAGTCTTAAGGTTGTCAGTTTAAGCTTGGCTTTATTTAAA